TCACGCCTGAACTGGATGAAGGGGAGCTGGACATGCTCGCTGCCCGTGCCGCCAAAGAAGCCTGCCTTGTAGGAGGCTGTCCGCTTGTGATAGGTGAAGCACAAGGCATCCGAGGCCTCCATCGTGTCCTTTGACAGCACGGTCGTCACCAAATCCAAGGCCTTCAGCCCTGAGGAGGACTCGTGCCTTGAATGACCCGCAAGCAGGGAGAAGTCCTTGCGCACAGACACTTTGTCAAAATACCCGACTTCCAAATTCAACCAAGGAATGCCATCGACCTCGACCATAGAACGGACCCCCGTGAACACCTCCTTGTCAAAGCGCGTGAAGGATCGGAAATTGCCGCTCAACTCTTCAAACCTCTCGGTAGAAATCCTGCCAAAAAGCGTAGATGCACGGAAATCGCTTTCCTTGCAAGAGGCCCTCGCTTCCCATCCAAAACCTTTTGCTACCTGGCGACTTCGAGCAGTTTCTGTCATTCCATCCGCCTCAATGCGGCTGAAAGCCGAAGTTTCTCTCTCGAACATGCCAAACTTGGTGGAGGCGCCCCCTTGGCCTTCCACCTCGGCCCACATATGCGTGCCCTTCACCGTTGTCTTCGAAAAGCTTGAGGCCTCAGCTTCTGTTTAAATTGGGAACTGAAATCATGGGTTCAGGCTTGCGGTCTGGGATTGGGGGGCTTGTTCCTCGAGACAGGGGCTTCAATTCCTTACTACTATGGTACACGGTAGTACGGCTATGCATGGCAGCAAAACAAGAATGCAGGAACGCGTGTAACTCGATTATTGTCACTCTTTCGTGGCCAAACCGAACAGTGCACAAATTCTGCCTGAAAAGAACGACCAAGATGCCGAGCCATCATCGGCCGTCCTTGAGGTGGACTCGGTGCTCTTGCCAGCTCCCGTGCCAGCAGAGATCCGTCCCACAAAAGGTACCTTTACTTTCAACTCAGCTTCCGCTCCAACGAAGGTTGTCCGTTGCGTCTGCACGCCACTCCTCAGCAAGTCGGGATCAGGTACCCCCTACTCGCCATCAAGTATGGAAGATGAAAACTTATCTGCTCTTTGTTGCTGAGGCTCTTTGCGCCGCTCCGGGTTCCGAACAGGCAAGAATGCCTTGATGATTTCAGTCCTTGAGGGCATGGCGCCTAAACGCTCAGCATTCTTGCAACCTACTCCAGAGGACTTTCAGTCACCTCCATGCAACATACATAGATAAGGAAAGATCAATGAATTGAAACTTTGTGAATACATCATGCACATCAAGGTTCGCGTGTTGGCTCTTTAGCTTTGGATGTGATGAACAAGTACAAATCCATGGCAGACCATTTGGCCTAAGACTCATTCCACCAAATATTGCAAACTTGCTTTTGCACATCCTTCCTGCAGATAAAATGATCAACTTAGCCTTGGATGCATGTAAAACTCGAGCAACAACCCCAAATTAACTCGCATCCTACAGAGCTGCTGGAATGTTGCTGGTGCTGCTTTGGCTGTGCAGCTGGACTTCCGCAAGTGCCTGGACTCCGAAACAGGTGTCCCTGGCAGCTGGAAGCCAGGCAGACAGCCAAGTGAGCATAACGTGGGTCACAGATGACCCTCGCGACGATGATGCTTACCGTGTATTAGGAGCGATGAGCTGCGAATTTCTACACGCATCCCTGTCACCACCACCAACCTCCAAACATGAAAGCCTAAACAACATTATTTTCTTCTCCATGTTCTTTCCATGTCTTTTGCCTCAACACGCAGCACTAAATCGTGTAAGGACCTAAGCCCGAAACCCTGAATGACATAAACGCTAGAATTTACTTTTCCATTCGTATACGGTAAGACCTAGCCCAAAACATTAAAAAGTGTAAGGACAGCTCCTGTGCAGAAGTTGCGCTGGTGCAGATCAATGGGCCCCTCGACGCCTCACGGGTGCGAAGCTTGAAAAGCTACTTGCCGATGATTGGTACGAAATAGGAAAGACGTGGAAACTTGCATGTTATTTGGGGTTCAGGGTTGCGGCCCTGAACCCTAAACCCTAAAACCCTAAAACCCTAAACCCACAACCCTAAACCCTAGTTTAGAATTTTGATTTGAGGATTTAGGGCAGGGAATGGAGGAAGGGATCCCTATGGTAGTTCCCACACAATCCCAAGTCATGTAATAGTTTCCCCTGTCTGTGTCATACCTTCATTGCATACTAACCACCAGTAAGGCTTGGGTCCAGGTTTGCAGGTGGTTGGGTCGTGCTTACGCTATTCTTTCGCATCCGCTCCGGAACTCCATGGGAATTACACATCTGGACGGATACACCGCGTGAGGATCAACGGCCTAGTTGCTGGCAGCACCTACAGTTACAGTCTGAACGGAGATCCGCCAGGGACCACGCGCCGTTTCAAGACACTGCCTGCGTCCGAACAGCCGGATAATCCGGATCCTCAGGCAGACGATCCACGGTGTCTGGACCTAAGTACTCTTTGCTTTGGGTAGATATTTTGGGGTTACATAGGGGATATAGGGAGAATGGAAAAGAAAATGGAAACTACTGTATTTCTTGCACAGCCCTAAACCCTAAACCCTAAACCCTAAACCCAAAACCCAAAGTTTGCATCTCCATAGAGTCTTTAGCCCAACAATGGAGGAATGGTTCCGGGAACTCCTCAGGAGTCCAAAGCTCCGCACTGAAACGCGGTTTAGGGTTTAGGGTTTAGGGTTTAGGGCTCCAAAGCCTCCTGAACGCTTGAAGTATCCCAGGTTTCCGTTTGTGATCGGCGTGATAGGCGACTTGGGCCAGACGACAGATTCAGAGGAGACACGGCAACGTGACGGAGTAATAGGTATACTGTAACTATATACTCTCATCATCTCTCATTATATTGAGATGATATTGCATCAGTGCATTAAAAGAAGGTCATAATAACATACGAATGGTATACAACTTGATCAAGATATTAAGGAGAAGTGGAAGATAATGTAAGAGGAGACGGTGCGGCACCTGGATGCAGACCCCAGCCTGCAGATCATCCTTCATGCTGGTGGCCAGACTGTCATGCGGTTTAGTGCTTAGGGGCTTAGGGTGTAGGGTTTAGAGTTGGGGGTGCGGGGTTTAGGGTGATGGACCTCAAAAGGCTGCATGACCCAGGGTACCATATGTGCACTAAGGCACTGCAAAGCTTTATTTAGTATCAAGAGTAGGAATGTTTCTGCTTTGTTCTGCTTTGAAGCCATGACAAGAGTGTGCAAAGCATTCCACTTCAACTAGGTTTTCAGCAGTTGAGGTGACATGGCTTATGCGGACACAGAATCCACACGCTGGGACAGCTACGGAATGAAGGTGGAACCTCTGTCCTCGAGGCTGCAGTGGATGGTGTGTCCTGGAAACCATGAAAATCAGCTGCATTTTTCTGGGCTCTCAAGACATCTTAGAATTCGTCTAGGAGACATGATTAGTAGCCACCGTGCTAGTATACTTCCCTCTTGTACCAGTAGGGGAACTAGCAGTGGCAGCAACAGCAGCAGGAGGCAGGAAGAACAAGAGCAATGCTTGTGCTAATCGCAGCATAACAGCTACTACTTTTAAGAACAGCTGAGGAGATTGAGAGCGACTACTACACAGGAGATTGCTTTCAGGCATATGAGGCGCTCCAGTTAAGTGTGTAAGTTTTAGTGTTTAAGGTGAGGGGTAGTGGAGTTGCTTTAGCAGGCTATCGTCTCAGAGGAGTTGTAGGAATTGCATGGCTACAGGTGCGGGCTCTTTAGGGCAGATAGCAAATAGGCAACTAGCACAGTTCTGGTTCTTCCGAAGGACCGTGTGCGCAAAAGGGATATCACACAAAAGGATGGATTCAAGCATGGTAGGTAGGGTCTTCAATATTCGCCAATCTTCCCTAAGCCTTTTCCGAAGATAGCCAAAGTTGGCCACGAATTTTGGGCTGCGAACCTTTTGGTTTTGGCTGGATTTGACTTTTTTGTTACACCTTTCGGCTTTCCTGTGTGGTCTACCCCAAAAGATAAGAACCGTTGGTCTTACAGGCTCCTACTGGAGCCTTTTGAATGTGAAGTTTGCAAGAAGTGCGGCGTAACCATCACCAGGCCTTGAAGACGCGGGGGAACACTCCATAGCAGTCAGTTCATTGTCTCTGGGTGCCTTTTTGGCAGACCCCTAAACCCAAAACCCAAAACCTAAACCCCTTTGGGAACCCTCTGATTCGCGAGGCGCGGTTTGCAATGCCTGCAGTACAGCCCGCGGAGTCTATGCCGTCAACGCAGCAACTTTGAGAATGGTTTAGGGTTTACGGTTTAGGGTTTAGAGTTTAGGGTTTAGGGTTGATTTTTACCGCTTTCACTGTTTCGGAACTTGGGATAATGGAAAAGAAAATGGAAACTACTATAATATATTATATAGGGGTTATATAGGGTAATATTGGGAATCATTCCATAATAATCGCTCGCCAGGGATGAATCAAGTTTCAAGTTTTTCCAATCTTGGCACTGCAATTTGTAATCTTTGTAATCAAACATAACTATGCTTCAGAGTGATCTCGTTTCGCGACCCAGGCAAATCGGGTGCATGCATCCCTTTCCGTTTAGACCGCACCCAGGGCGAGACTGTACGCCTTCAATATTTTCGGGCAAGTACGACTGGGGAAATTCTTTCTACGCCTTCGATGCAGGCCCAGTCAGAGTTATTTCCCTCAACAGCTACACTGAATCTGGCCCGCAATCAGCGCAGTACAACTGGCTGAAGGAGGAGCTAGAGGCTTTAGCGCGCAGAAGATCGGCAACACCATGGCTGGTTGTCATGATGCATTGTCCTTTCTACAGCTCCAATGCAGCGCACCAGAACGAAGCGCAGGCAATCTTGATGAGAGATGCCCATGGTTTTGAGGAGCTTCTGAACCAGCATGGAGCTGCAGCGGTCATCAGCGGTCATGTGCACGCCTACGAGAGAACGCATCCAGTGTACAGAAATGCCTCGCACCCTGGCGCTCCTACCTACATTGTGGCTTGAGTGACTTTTAAGGCTTTTTTTTTGTGTACACGCAATTTTTTGTGGAGACCTTTCTACTGCAGATTCGTCAACATCTGATTTCTAGAGGAATGCCAAGCAATCCATAGGTGGTGGGTGATGGGGGCAACAGGGAGGGCCACGCTTCGCAATACCTGCAGCGACCCAGTTGGTCAGCCTTCCGCGAAGGACTCGATTAAGGGGTTTAGGGTTCAGGGGTTTAGCAGCTTCGTGTTTAGGGTTTAGGAGTTGAGGGTTCAGGGTGTAGTAGTTTAAGATTTAGGGGTTCAGGAGTTTACATAGGGTTTAGGGATTTAGACCTTGTATCTAGGGTTTAGCGATTTAGGACTTTAGGGTTTAGGGGCTTAGGGTTTGGGGTTGAAGGACTCAGCTTCGGCCATGGGCGCCTTGTTGTTGCCAACCGGACGCACATGCAGCTTGATCCCTGCTGGAAGTACTGTTTTCATGAGGTTTACATGAGCTGTAGTCTATATTCCTTAAGGGAGGTTATATAGGGGGATTATATAGGGGGCTATTACAAATACTATAGAGCTTGTTGAGAGGGATGCGATGAGTTTAGACTATGGCTCATATTTTGAGAAGGGCTCAGTCTTAAGAGGCAGCTGACATTTTAGCTATTTGCAGGTCCAGGAACACTTAACTAATTACGGCAGGATGCGGGGGTTACACTATAGAGCCGGATCTTGTACCAACTCAAGCTTCGACGGGACTGGGACACTATATCACCATAGTAGTACTTCTATTATCTCCCTTCTACTCCCTATAACAGTCGCTTACCCGTTTCCCCAATTCCCAACTGCATCACGCAAGGATCCTGCCGTGATGATCAGGTTTCAACATGTGCGCGTTTCTCTCATTTATCCTTTACACAATCTGTAATCGAGCTCCCATGATCCAATTGAATCCCCCTGTGCATCATGGTTCTGAGATATCAACATTTCAGGAATCCAAACCAGAGACACGCCAAATCCAAATCCTGAAACCCCCCCAAAAAGTGCCTTTGAGCAACTTTCATGTTTCATAGGCAGTGGGAATGGCACACCAATGCTGCTGGGCCGCCGGCAATGGACAAGCAGGCTGCAGCGCGACGTGTTGCAGAGTTGGAGACTTGAAAGCTTTAGGGGTTTAAATTCATAGGGGGCTCGTTCAAAGGCTGTATAAGGAATGCACAAGGTTCATACAAGCGATGTAGGGAATTATTACACAAGGACTGTTTAAGGCTAACAGCCGCGCCTCACAGGATTCCAAAAAATATCATCACTATTTCAGGGACCAACGCAGATTTGAAGAAACCCGGAGTGAGTTTTAGCATGCGCTCCACATCAGGATCTAGAGATTGCAGTTGAGGAGCTAAGCCTGACGCATGAACATTCGTCTAAAGTTCTCGTCAAAACTGAAGCGCGGAAGCCCGACGGATGGAACTATTCTTATGAATGCTCATGCGCCACTACTAGGCAGACATTTCATCCTTATGAACATGTTTGCCAAATCAGCAAACACGTGTCCTTTTTTCTTCTTGGAAGGGTTCATCTGCAGATGGTTTCTGAGACAGCCCTTGTGTTAGTCTGATGAGAGACCCCAACCTTTGCCCCGCAACTGTTGCCTGTTAAGTACGCTCAGCCACATTTTTAGATTTTCGACAAATCGGCGCCCCTTTCTGGGGAGTTCTTCAATCGGGCTTTAAACCCAAGTCTAAACCTTAGTCCCTAAATCCCACGCCCTAAGCCCTAAATCCCACTTGGGCATCGAGTGCAATTTTTCAACATATGGCTTGTGCTTATCATAAGCCATGTGCTACCCCAGTTATCCCAATAATGCACTTACTTCCTAAGACTCCGAGCGCATTAACTCCGACATGAACCCCAGTCATGCGAGGGTTTCCATTTCCTCTTTCATCCTTCCATTCCTTACTAATTTCCCCTGACTCTCCAAGTTTATTACCCAGGAGAAGTCGGGTGCAATCTTCGGAGACAGCTCGGCATGGCACTTGCCGTTACCACAACGTAGCGCAGATGACAGCGTTTGGATCCATAACCCATACAGAGATCCTTGGACCTCATTTTACAACATCCTGGCTTTCAGGTTTTAGGAGTTTTGGGGGTTATGAGGTTTTTAGGGATCAAAGTTTCCGTGTTTAAAGTTGATTGATAGCCTACGGTTCAAGGATTACGGTTAAGGTTTTAGGGTTGAAGGAGTAAGGTTTCGGATTAAGGTTTGCAGTGTTTTGGGGATCCCTACTGACATGAATTTACGTGCTAGTGACAACCCCGATTGATACGCTTTTTGGCCGGCGGACCAAGAACTCTTGTCAAGCGAGCGGATGCATCCATCAGGGGTTTCCATTACTTGTAGTCTTTTTTTGGGCAAGGGAAAGCCTAACCTCTAACCCTCGTATAACTGTAGTCTAACGTTCCATCCAAATTTACATGCCAATTTCCCGAAACAGTCAGCAAGGGAGACCCTAAACCCCCAAATCCTAATCATGGTACATACCCCGCGAACTCCCTTCTAAGTCTCCAAGCAGGGTCTTGTAGTCTCCCTTGGGCAATGCCCGAAACCCTAACCCTAATTCCTAAACGCTAAACCCCTAATCCCCATATCCCCAAACCCTAATCCCTAAACCTTAAGCCCTAAAGTCCTAGTTTCCTTCCCTAAACCTCTCTTACTTATTATAGTTTGAGGTTTAATGTCCTTATCGGGCAAGGCTCAGCCTCTATCGGGCAAGGCTTGGGCAAGGCTCAGCTTTTAGGTTCTGGCTGTAGGATTCGGGCTCTAGCGTTCGGGCTCTAGGGTTTGGGCTCTGGGATTCTGGCTCTGGGGTTTGGGCTCTAAGGTTTTGAGCTTGAGGGTTCGAGCTTTAGGGTTCGGGCTTTATGATTAGATTTAGGGCTTCAGGGTTAGGATTTAAGGTTTAGGGCGTAATTTTCTTAATGACATGGGACCCAATGGGCGGGTGGGCATTTTTCTGTTCTTGGACAACGCTGCTTAACAAGAGAATGCTTGGACTTGAGATGCTGAACCCTAATCCCTAAACCCGAATCCCCAAACCCGAATCCCGAAACTCTAATTTCCAAACCCTAAACCCTAAACCCAAGCCCCTAAACCCTAAACTCTAATCCCCAAACCCTAATCCCCAAACCCTAATCCCTAAACCCTTTGATGGAACCTGAGGATCCTCCGCCGCCCAGCCATTTCTTTTCAAATGCAAGCCTTTGGTCAATCGCAATCGTTTCTGGGTCTACTGGTCTAGGGTTTAAGGATTTAGGGTTTAGGGTTTAGGGTTTGGGGATTTAGGGTTTGGGGTTTAGGGCTGTGTCTACTTTAGGCAATGGGCTGTTAGGATTGTAGCAGGCGTTATATTGGGGACTGTATGGTAGTTTCCTTAAATCCGGGACCCCAATATAGACCCCAAGATACTACAATCCTTGTTGCAGGCACCCCAAGCAGGTACGCCAAATTTGGGAAACACAAAAATAGGGGCTAGTATAGTACCCTAAACCCTAACCCTAAACCCTAAGTATAGTACCATAGGGATCACATTCTTCCCCCAAGTTCTGTGGGTTGACGTTTTGGATCCTCTTGACTTGATATGGGGCTCCTTTTCTAACTTGGGTCAACCCCACACCCACTAGTAGTGGTACTAGAGGCTTATATAAAAGTATGGACCCTAGTCTATCCCTTGTGGTCACTGTTCGTGCTGGGGACCCAACCGAATATAAAACTACAACAGAGGGTGCCTCTTACCTCCCTAAACCGTAAACCCTTCCCTATCCTAAACCCTAAACCCTGGACCCTAGACCCTACACCCAGGGTTATAGGGGCTCAGGTTTCTGCTGCTGCGCTTGCACTGGTTTTCCTGGTTCTGGCCGTGCAGCGATGTCGCAGGAGGTCAGCCCCATCTGTACAAACTACCGGGAGCTCTGAAATGCAGAGCACGCACTCCAGCGGAACGCTTTTGGAGTCCTGAAGAGCAGCTTTGGTTGCGGCTTTCCATGCCAAAGTCCGACGCATGGAAGCCGGATTTTGCATGTGGGTATTCTTGGATGTGCTTCATGGGTCCCTATAGAATGTGTAACCCCATGTTCCTGCTAAAAAGTCTGGTACCTGTTTCGGTTTCGTCCATTTGTTGGAACGATGATTTAAGTAAACTCCCATGCGTATTCAGCTGCTGGATGAGCTGCTTGCTCTTGGCAAGCGCAGATAAGTCTTTGCGGCTTGAGCTTACTCGGGATATGCATGGATTAATTAGCCGCCTTGCTTTTCTCGTGTCACACACAGAAGCTTCGCAAAAGGTTTGGTCTGAGCTGATTGCTGCTTGATGAGTTGTACTGATAGTTGTACTGAATCACCAACACGTGCTGTGGTTTTGACATGGTGCTTCATGGTGCCCTGCCACAGCTGTTTCTCTGCCTAAACCATGCATTCTACGACCCCCGCTTCAAGCGAAAAGCAGGTGATGCTCAGATTGATAGAAATCTCACATGACGGGGTAGCATATATGCCGTGGAATTGTTGGGAAATGCTCACTAGCGCTGCGACATACTAAGGAAGCCCCTCTCAACCCTAGGCCTTATACCGTAAGCCTTCAACCCTATTCCATACACCCTAAACCCTAGACCCTAAGCCCGAAATCCTAAAACCCCAACCCTACCGCCGCATCCTGTACTGTTCGGCATGGCCAGCACCTCAGCTTGTCTTGCGAAAGATGGCAGGATAAGAGTGTCAGCAGATGCCAATCTCATCACAAAATCTGTTTCATAAAGATGTTTGTATGTATATAAACACCCGCACATACGCATGAATTTGTGTAATTGTACATACACAGTACATGCACACGCACGCACATGCACGCGCACACACACACACCCACCCACCCAC